ACGCCTCGGGTAGAGCAGCTGGGGTGCTGCCGGGTTGGTCCTGTGGGAACCTACCGGGCAGCGCCCCAGCTGTTCTGTCCCTGGCTCCAGATTCAGCAGCTGTTGAAACTGATCAGGCTGATTCCAGGAAGCTGGGGGCAGAGCAACTCTGCCTCTGGCTTCCTGTAGTCAGCCCCTGGTCAGTTTCAGTGGCAGGAGCTGAATCTGGAGCCAGTTCCGACTTACATACAAATTCAACTTAAGAACAAACCTATAGTCCCTATCTTGTACGTAACCCGGGGACTGCCTGTAATTAGTGTTATTTCAAAATAACTTAGTCCATGTCTACACAGCAGGCAGTTATTTTGAAATAATGTCAAAAGACTGTCAAGCTGGAGGTCTTCTTACTCTGACTCCTGTAACCCTCATTGTACGAGGAGTAAGGGAAGTCAGAGGAAGAGTGTTCTATTTCAAAATAAGTGCTGTTTAGACGCTCCCAATTTCGAAATAAACTACACAATTGACGTTGCTCAATTTACACAGCATATTTAGAGTTAAGCCATGCTGTGCAGATGCACTCTTTAAAGTGGGTATTTCAAACAGCAGTCCATCAAAGTGTGCCACAGAACAGCTAAGGGAGTCCTGGAGCCTGTCTACACTGCCGAGTGTTTGCAGGCATAGGACTTGTTTATCCTGCCACGGTAAATCAATGGTATGTACAACGTGCTATATTGATAGGAGGTGCTCTCCTGTTGACTTTCTTACTCTTCTCGTTCTGATAGAGTAACACAGTTGACTGGAGAGTGCTCTATGGTCTTCACTAAGCCCACTAACTCAATCCCCGCTGTATCAATTGCTGCAGTGTCAGTCCCCATGCCTGCAAACACTCTGTAGCGTAGTAAGGCTCCTGGACTTCCATAGCTGTTCTGTAGTGCACTTCGATGTTCTGCTCTTTGAAATAGAACTTCCTCAAGTGAGGGATCCATACAGTTTTCATCCCCACCCTTCTATGGAAGTGATGATTTGGGCCAAATTTAATATCCTGGTGAGTTTCGCCACTGACTTCAGTGGAGCATTACAGACCCCAAATATGGTTGTACTTGCCTTGGCAGACACAATTACCAACGCTAAGCTTTGAAAAATCACGTATCAGGCTCCCAAAATCACAAAACTGACTTAAAAATCATGAGATCTTAAAAAAATGTTTTTTTATTTGCATTCTCATGCTCTACCCTTCAATATGTATTGCACATTTTCAAACTGTTCTCTGTAACCAGGAGAACTAAAAACTTTTGTTTACAAATAAACCTGAGAGTCCCATGCAATCTCTTGATTTTAGCAGTTCAAGATATTGACTCTGACTTCAGTGTGACTACTTTTGTGAGCAAGTGCTCACTTGCATGAGTCAGCTGGGAGTCCCAGGCCGCTTTGAATTGCCAGACCCTAGGGCAACTGCCCCCTTTGTCTCCCTCGTAGGTGAGCCTGGTTATTGAAGACCTAAATATACATCTTAAACAAATTAGATTGATAATATGAAATAGGGGGTGGTGCCAGCCCCTCCCCCGCTCTAGGGGTAGGTAGCCCCAGCTCCCTTCCCCCGGCCACTAGGGAGAGCCAGGCCGAGGTGTGGCAGTCCTGGCCTGCCCTGGCTCTCCACCCCAGCCACCGCCCCTCCCCCCCGCAGCCACATCAGCCTGGGCTCTCCCACCTGGCCGCTGGGGGATTGAGCTGGCCTGAGACTGCCGCTGGCCCAGCTCTCTCCCTCTGGCCAAGGGGGGTTGGGCCAAGGCTGAACTGACCTTAGGCTTGTCAGGTGTCTGGTATTGACCCGGACAGGCCGGTATTTTTGCCTCCTGTCTGGTAAAAAAAAATTCAGAAAATACCGAACCCCTAAAATGATTTTTTTCCGGCCAGAAGGCAAAAATCCCAGGTGCTTACCAGGTTCCACAGGGGAGCTGTTCAGCCTGGAGCAGGGAGACAAGATGGCGGACAGCCAAATTTTTAAATGTAAAAAATTTTTTGCTCAGCAACTTTGGTCTCCCCTTTTTTTTCTCGACAGAATTTTTTCCCTGGTGTTTTTTTTGGGGGGAGGGTGGGGGGTGTTCAGCATTTATGGTTAAACCATCTGGCAACCCTAATTGGCTTTCTCCCTCTATCTGTGAGGGGGGCGGTCTTGTGGCTCACAGCTCCTTCTCCCCTGCTGCTCCAGCTCCAGCTCCAGCTTCCCCCACCCCACTCTCCAGCTGTACCAAGCCCCATGCTCTCCCCTCCAGGCCCAGGTCCCTCGCCCTCCTCCTGGCCATTGGGTTGGGTGGGGGTGAGGCTGAGGCCCTGCACTCTCCTGGGCTCCTTGCCCTCCTCTCAGCTGCTGGGAGGGAGGAGGGTGAGGCCCAGGCCCCACACTCTCCCTAGCCCTTTGCCTTCCCCACATCTGCCAGGAGGGAGGGGGACGAGGCCTGGACTCCTCACTCTCTCCAGACCCTTCACCTTCCTCCCCTGGCCGCTGTGAGGGAGGGGGGTGAGGCCCAGGCTCCTTGCTTTCTCCAGCCCCTCACTCTTTTCCTGGCCCACCAGGATGTATGTGTGTGAAGCCCAGGCTGGAGGACCACAATGTAAAACTCAGACAGCCGCTACATGGCAGCTGCTGGAGGTACAGCTAGCCCCGGCCCCAGCTCACATGACAGTGTGTCCCCCAATCCGGTCCCCCCCTCCAGTGGGCCTCTCCAGTGGGCCTCATGCTGCCCTGCAATTTTCTTCCTCTTCCACCCCCAAACCCACCAGCAGCAGCAGCCACTTACCTTCAGTGCTGCTGCTGCTGGGGAGCCATAGTTGCCAATCCATGCTGGGTTAGCAGCAGGGAGGAAGAAGGAAAGGAGGAGGCAGGGTGACTGAGGGGGGAGGGGCTGCAGGACGCAAAGTGACATGATGAGGTCACTCTGTCGTCCCAAAGAAAAAAATTTCTTTAATATATAGAGAGATTTCCAGGATTTAGTCACCTTGTGTATTAATCTTGGCCTCCTAAGTATTTTCTTTGTCATAACACAATGTATTTGCCAGAGTTTAAATGAAAATCTCAAGACATCAAACAACAAAGTACATACCCCAAGAAATTCAATATACTGGCTTACCTTTACAATCTACCTCTAAACTAGCAGGATATCAGCATGATTTACAAGCTTTATAGATAAATCATGTCACCACCACTGGCATGCTATCCGCAGCTAGAAAACTTCTCTGTCACTTGTTTTAGTTCCAATATTTAAATTTTCTTGCCTCCTCTGTGTCACAGAAGAGCATCTGAAGTCTGTTTGGAAGGCCAGGTTTCTCTTTCTGAAGTCATTAATAATGAAACAAAACCTCTTTAACAAATGGAACAGTAATCAGAGAGGAGCCAAAAAGCACCTTCTGCTCTCTAATATGCTGCATGAGTGCTTTGAAGTGCTTTGCCCAAAGGCTTTTTGCTGTTCTTTTGACTTCATTTGAACTATGAAATAGAAGCACAGCCTTGTCATTTACTAAATTACTAGTTCAAAGTTTACCCTCTGTAGCAATTCCAACCCATTTCTAGAGCCCAATGACAGCAATTTACAGCAACATTCCCCTCAAGATATCTCCTGAGAATATACGGGGGAGTAGTTTAAAAATATCCCATAGCTTTCCTCATGTGATTCATAGTGTCAGAGGCTCACAGAGACTCCTTACCTTTTTCCTAAGAATTTTTCTGTAGATGTTGTGTGCTAGCATGGAGCTGGCTGATAGAAGGGCCGAATCTGCAGAAGACATGACAGCAGCAGCAATGGCTCCTAAGCCAGCAACGGAAACATATGTTGGGCAAAGATACTGCAGAACAATGGGTAATATCATGCTGGACTCTCCTCTTTCATTAGGGGTTGGCAGACCATAGCTTGTCTGATTCCAGTCTTAACAAAAGAAAAGAATGTTAATTAACAGGGAGTTTTGGATTTGCTCTGTTAATTTTTCATTCCTTTACTGTCTTCTGTGTTGAAATAGCTAACAGTAGATTCCACACGGATCCTGACCTTTTTTAAAAAAAAATTATTTGTTGCAAGGTGCAGTAAGGCATATTTCTTTTCCCTGAAACAATCAATAACACTGAAGGAAAAGATCATTAGGAGCATTGAGAGCATTCCTGGGCTTTTTAATAGCTCTAACTTGTCTGAAATCTACCAAAACATTCTAAGCTTCAGTATGGTTTGAGGTCTGTGGTTTGGGGTTATGAAAATGTTGAAAAGAAAAGAAAAGAAATTCAACCTTGAAAAACACCAGAACATACATCTGGGGAGGGGATAATTCAAAGCACAGCATAGAAGGAAGATGTTTGTAAAGTAATAAAACAAGAACTTCACCAAATCAGTTAGTTAATGAACAAAAGTCAGTGCAATTTGGGGGATGTACAAGCAGAAGAAGGGATATGCAGCTTTTGTCTATATGGCACTGTTTTGTATCAGTGTTTCTCAAAGTGGTCCGTGGTAGGCATGTAATAGTGTAGTCAGTTAACCAATTAACCGATAAGCAAAAACATATAGGTTAATGCTATAAACAACATGTATTTCCACCCCACATCCCCTGCCAGTAAATTGATAGCAGTCTGGCCAGTAGCCCAGCTCACTGCTGGCTTGCAACAGGTCTGGGACTGACCCTGCTGCAGCTCTGCATTTAAAGTGTGTGAGGAGCTGGGTGGGCAGGCAGCTTGGCTCAGATCCGGCTCGTGCTGAGTCTGGGAACTCAGACCGGCCCTAAACAGGGGCTGCTGCAACCCTGCACTGCTGTCCCTGTATCAGAGGCAGCAGCACAGAGTGGCAGGGAACTCCTCAGGAGTGGGGCCTGAGTACACTGGCTACCGGCCCTGCTCTTGGGGACTATAGAATAGTTAACTAACCAATAAGAATTCATGAAGTTACTGGACTATTCGATTAATCAATTTAACATCCCTAGTCCATGGACCAACTCTGAGAAAGCAGTTACTGGGCTGCTCCAGTTTGTTTATTTATTGGCTCCACAGCCATGGAGCCTCGTGGCTCCCATTTGCTGTAGTTTACTGTTTGCTGCCAAGGGGAGCCTGTGGGAAGCAGCGGCTTGGGCCACACCACTTCCTGCAGCTCCTCTTGGCTGCAAACAGAGAACCTCAGCCAATGGGAGCCATGAGGCTCTGAGACTATGGCGCTGGTAAGTGAACAAACTAGAGCGACCCAGTAGCAGCTTTTTCAGAGAGGGTCCGTGGACCACTTTGAGAAACACTTTTTTATATAGATACTGAGGCCTTATCAATGTAGTATCTGAGTGTAATTGCCATCGGGCAGATTTGAACCTGGGACCTCTAAGTGGAGTATAAGAGCCTCTACTCACTGAGCTAAAAGCCAGCTGGCTCACAACACATGGGCTACGTCTACACTGGCCCCTCTTCCGTAAGGGGCATGTAAATTTCAAGAGTCGTCGTAGGGAAATCCGCGGGGGATTTAAATATCCCCCGCGGCATTTAAATAAAAATGTCCGCCGCTTTTTTCCGGCTTTTAAAAAAGCCGGAAAAGAGCGTCTAGACTGGCCCCGATCCTCCGGAAAAAGCGCCCTTTTCCGGAGGGTCTTATTCTTACTTCAAAGTAAGAATAAGACCCT